TAATAAATGGCTCTTATTTGGACTTCAATTCTCTAGTGGTCTTTCTGTGACTCTGTCACACCACATTTGGAGGCCCCAGGGCTGGTCTCCGAGAACTCGGGATCAGTCGCCGGCCAGCTTTGCTCCCTATTTGGCTTTAATTTGGCTCTGGGGGTCTCTCGGTTCTCTCGCACCACAACACTAAAGTTATCAGTTGGGTTCTGGATGAATCCCTGCCTTAAGACACAATAATGATTGTACTGAAATTCATGAAAAAATGCAAAATAACTTGATTTATGGCTATTGATGAGAGGGGAAAACAATGTATAATATGTGGAATTAATTCTTAGGCCATATATTGAGTAGTCAATGAAGTAAAATAAAATGACATTTCCCAATAAAAAACAACCATGTCTGCATTATAAGCCAGTTTTTCTAAAGAGCATATTATTAAAATAATAATAAGTGTACAGGGCCTGGATTTCAGGGCTGTTTTGGAATCTGTTGCTCTTGTTTGTTCATTAGTTATTTTATACCATTTAATGTAATGGAGAAATGCTGCTTCCTAAAGCGTTTAAAACACCGACAGAAGGTTCACTGTGAAAAATTTTAAAGCTTTATTTCTTCATTTTTTTATTTTTTCTGATTCATTTCCTCCTCTTTCATCTTGGTATTGGTAGGGGAGGTGATATTCCTCCTCCTCCAAATCATATCCTTCCAAAGAAAAGAAAACAAACTTGCAAGCTATCTATATCTAATCAATCAGAACACCACTTCCTGTCCCCTCCCCCTTCCAGTTACCTGTGGGTTTCAAATGGAGCGGCGGGACTCAGGACAGTGTCCTGGCCTGCCACTTCCTGTGTTGAGCTGAGACCTGCAGCTTTGGCCTGAAGTTTGGAGTGAGCTCTTCTTCCATCCCCAGGGCGCTGGGAGGCGCACCACGGAAAAGCACAGGATTATTATTACTAAAAATTAATTAGAAAAGGAAGCCATCTTCCTCTGATCGGTTCCTATTTCTCTTTTCTCACCTCACCTTCTTTCCCCACTCTAGACGTTTCTTTCAGCTGTGAACACCAGCTAGGGTAATAAGAGGAGAGGGTCTGAATTACGAAAACAAAACACAGGAAGAGTTGATAGAAGCTACACCCAAATTACTGAGAAATTAAAAGTTCAGAGCCAAATTCCAGGAAGATGCTATATTTTGGACTTACTAATTTGTGTTTTCATATGTGCCAATGTCTTAAAGCTACGGTCATTAGTCTTCCAGTCATTAGCTTCCCAATGAAAGAAAAGAAATGCTGACTCCAGCCATTTGTCCCAGATGCCACAGGAAATGGCACCCTCTCCCCTGACGCTGGCTCACAAACATGGCAGCACCCAGAGGTGAACTTCTCTGCCTTGTACCCCAGGCCCTGGGCTCTCCCTCCAACCTGGTACCCTGATCCACAGCCCAGAAAGGCGTCTCTCGGAAAGGGATCTAGAATCAACTGAGAGGTGCATTTTTAAGTCACCAGTTACTTTAATGAGCAAGTACTTTCTAGTTTTCCCATTTTATTTTAAGCATAAATTTTGTATTTCTGACCAGCCTTTCTTGGCATTCTGATTTCTTGTGTACTTTCTGTAGGAAGGAATCACCATCCCTGCCCACTCCACCGGGCCCCAGCCTTAAAGAGACAACTTGATTATTTCATAATAAGAAGGATTGATAAACTACTAACTCTCTAAAAGTGTACAGGGAGAGGAAAAGGCAGGCTGAGAACAAGAAAGGATGTGGAGCCCGTTGTATGTCATGATGACCACAAGGCTCGGCTGGGTTCTGACTCCCAGCTCTGCTTTTGATGAAATGGATGGCCTTGGGCAGATGACTCAATCTGCCAAACTTCATTTTCAAAAGCATAAAATGGAGGGGGACAAGTACCAGTTTCCTAGGGTTTATTAGAGTAATACCTAGATAAGCAGGAAAAACATGTAACATACTTCTGGAGTGGGTATTAAACAATCACTAAATCACACGTTAAATTAGTGTTACTAAGTCGTAAGTTAAATACTTTATTTACTGGAAAGCTCCCTTAACTACTAAGTACCATCCGCCAAAAGTGCTGAGGTGGCTCAGAAAAACCATAATTAACACTTGTAGAGTTTATGGAGCATTTCCTTTGATTTCTACAATTCAGCCTCAGGTGGGTAGTGATGAGCGGTTGACTTATTTTTGTTCCTGAGGGTTAGAAGCAGGACCGGCAAGAGAAGAGAAGCTCGCAGGCCCAACCTTAGAGCTGAAGGAGGAGAACAGGACTTGGGGAGAGCCTAGAGTCAGTTCCATGGGTTACTTCCCCGCACAGGCCCTTGCTCTGTCAGCTTCGGTACCTCCAGGACCTTGTCCCTCTTCCTGTTCCCAGGCCTAGGGCTTGAACCTGGGGAACATCATCAGTCCTACTGCCAACACATACAGCAGTGGGAACCCAGATCTTCCAGATCCTTCTAAAAAACCATATGGGTAGGGAGCAAGGCAGACAGAGACTGACTCTCAGAATCCCAATTTTAAACTCAATAACTTCATTTCCCCATAGAAACACTATTGCACTCAGTATTCAGAGACTACATTGTTAATAGTAACAATAATAAAACAATATCCATTTTAATGGCCTTTTGTGTAATCTCCTTAGAGGAGCATATGGATCATCTCTCCCATTTAAGGATGAAAACAGATGAGAGGTGAGCTCTGGAGGGGGCAGAAACCCCGCCTGCTGACGCAGACTAATGGTCACTGGTGAAATGGGCTTTGCGGCCATTCCTGGAGACAGAATTTTCAGAATGCAACCTGTTCATCAGCTGAAAGCAACTTAGTCATTGTTAGTTCCACGTCACCCTTCCTTTTCAACCACGGGAACTTTTTACTTAACCACTGATTAGAATCTAGGGTTGTCAGCATAAGTGTAAAAATACAGCTTTAGTGCAGTAACTGAGTTTTCCATTAATACATTAATAGAAATTAGCTATCAGAGTGATAAAAACTGACCTAAGTTGACTTCATACCTGCTCTGTTTTCTCACGGAAAAATTGAAAGCCATGCATAAAACATTGCTTTGCTTTGTTTTGTTTTTCAACAGAGAATAAAAAGAAAAACTACATGCAAAATTTTTTTTGGTCTAGATAAGACTATCCCCCCCCCCCAAGTCAATAAATATTTATAGATGAGGTTGAAAACACAGGCTCTGGAGCCATATGTCCTCCTAAACAAACAAAACAGAATCGTAAGCTCACGTACTCGATCAGAAGACTCATAGTCAGTAAAAGATCAGCTCTGCCTTTTAGCTCCACAACCTTGGGCTACTTACCTGACCTCTCCAAGCCTCAGTCTACTCACCCATAAAATGAAGACAGTAATAGTTCCTACCTCATTCCTTTGTGAGAATAAAATAGGACTGGCACAGAGTAAGTGCTCAATGAATGCTAACCATTATGCATCAAACACTGGGCTGTGAGTGGTACAAGGATGGGGAAACCCCTTTGGCCATCCAGGATTAGGACAGACGGGGTAGAAAGGCAAATGGGTGTTTAATTATAGTGCAAAGTGGATCTCCGTGCTAAATAGAGGCATCCATCAGAGGACCAAGAGGTTTTTTTGTCTGGGAAAATAGAGGAGGCTCCCGGACAGAACTGCATTTTAAACTGGGTCTTAAAGAATGAGCAGAATGTCCGTAGAGGAAGTGGTTAAGGGAACATCCAAGGCTGAGTTGCAAAGCAAACATGAAGAGGTGAGAAAAAGCTCTCTAAGTATATACACAAACTCCATAATTCCACCCACAGGTGGTGGGGAGACACACAGAAGGAACCTAGCTTAGGTTAAAAAACAAAGTTTATAAATGCAAACTGTTGGAGTTATGCTAGCATATCAAATGAAAGTGAAGATATGAACTTTGAAAACATAGAAAATAAAAATTCCATTTTAGAAAGTATTTCAATCAGCCTTGGCCGGTTTGGCTCAGCGGTTGGAGCGTTGGCCTGCGGACCAGAGTCTCGGGTTCGGTTCCCGCTAGGGGTAAATAACAAAAAAAAAAGAAAAGAAAGAAAGAATTTCAATCAAATTAAGACACTTTCTGAAGGATTAAGAGTAATTTATAGAAAGTAAAAAAGTTAACCATAAAATCTAACAGAGGTAGAATTGCTCACTGTGCTCAGTTTCCCAAAATACATTACACCATCCTCCTCCCTCAAAGTATATTTTCAAAAACTATCTCATTTTTTATTGCCAAGAAATGGCTGAACTGTTCTATATCCAGACTATCATTCAATATTATTTTGATATTTTCGGAATAGTGGAAACAGCCACAGTCATGAAAAATAAAAATGACTCGATTTAAACAGTTCAGAAGCAGAGTTTATTTCCACCTACTTATCGCCAACGTTTCCAGCATAAATTATATAGCAGCTCTCCGCAAAGGCACAGCAAGAAAATGCTGCCATCATTCCCACAGAGGATCAATATTTACCTTGAGAAAGAGCGTTCAAAGGTCACAAGAGAATTATCTTAGGAATTCAGCCACAGTTTGTTGGGAGGATAAATGGGCGGCTAGAGAATTTGGAAGTGATAAGAGGCCCACACAGATAAACGTACTCCCTGCCCATCTCCTCCCCACCCCCTTGTAACTCGATGGTACTTACCTGAGTATGTCTGGAACTCAAGAGACAAGTTGGGGCTAGTTACATTTATTGAGCACTTAAAAACGTGGCAGACCTCATACTAATGACTGGATCTGTTCATCTAACCCTCACTTGTAGAGAAACCCCGAGTCTAGTTGGCCTTTTGTCGAAGAGGAATCTGAAGTACACGGCTGCCCAGGGTCCGAGCAGAATACATCCCCGGGGGCTGACTCCAGGGCCCACCCTCTAGGCCACTGTGCTTTATTGCCTCAATTCGGAGTCATCTGCATACAAATGGTAACTGATAAGAGGACCAGATCTTTTGTTTGCATCTTAACTGGGATTCGGGGAGGGGGAGGGGAGCTATGCATTCTGCTGGGAAAACAAGGGTAAACCAGGACAGTTTGGGGCAAATAGGGACTGGTGGCCACGTCACTGACCAGTGCTGCGAGAGTGGGTGACTTAACCGAGGGGAAGAATGTTGAAGGAAAGAAGAGAGGAGTCGATCAGTGGGCCTTGAGAAAGACCAACATTTGGGGAGTTGCTGGAGAAAGAACTCACAAAGGATACGCGGAAGGTGCGGGGGAGAGGAGGTGTCACCCCCCGCAGGTTCCAGAGGGGAGCCGGCGCCGGGGTTCAGCCCCCAGAGCTGGGAATGCCACAGATTCCACATGGACCAAGAAATGGCCATTGAAAGGAGCAACAAGGAAATCATTGGTGATTTACTGACAAACATTTCTTCTGTTTGATGGACTCGGAGGCCAAATTAAAGTTAAAAAAAAAAAAAAAAAAGTGAGTGGGAGGTGAGGACCCAGACACAGCCAGTGCAAACAACTCTTTCTAAGAAGTGGCCTTGAAGAGGAGGCCAAAGATAGGACTGTCCTGGAGGTGGAGTCCGAGAAGTTTCCTTTCTTGAAGAAACTAGAGCGTATCTAATACGGCAGGAGGCAGCCTGAAGAGGCAGACCAAAGAGTGGAAGGCGTAATTATCTCCTCCCCAGGGGATATCTGGAACCCGGCTCCCCAGGAGGTGGGAGGACGGCCACCTGAGCGCAGATTCCCTTTCCGTCGGAAGAGGTACCGCTCCGCCTGTGCGGCGGGAGGAAAGGGGGCCTGCGGGTGAAGGTTTGGGGGAGGGAGCGAGCGAGGCGCTTGCTGTGGGTTTTCTCTGGAGTCCCCGCAGGGAGCGGGTCCCGCACGGCAGGCCCTGCACTAGGCCCGACAGACATGGACGTGATGTTAGTCAATGAGGTCGGCGATAATAGCCTTTTGATGCCAAAGAAAACTGGCTCAGAATCTTGGGCAGCCAACCCAGGAGCACACAGCGTGTTGAGGGCCAGAGTTCAAGGGTGACTTCAGTGTCTCCTGGAAGGAAAAGCCAGGTTGTTGGCTTCCCATATCTTTCATTCATATTAAAAAATAATAGGAAGGAAGTTGGCAAATGTAGTTTAATCAATGGTTTGAGACCATAATGTGAACATTTGTCATAACTAGTACATGGCCAATATCATATGTTGTTTATGTGAATTAATTTGATTTTTCACTCTAAGAAATCCTTTTGTTAAAAGTTGTTTTTTGTTGTTGTTTTTTTAAATGGGGCTTTTTGGTTAAAGGCTCCATAGTTTATCTTTTGTTTTTATAGAAGTTAATTGCATACCAGATATTATGAACCTCACTTCATTCATAAAGGATGTCTCCTGCATTTCTTTCTATAGTTCATAGGAAATTTTTTAAAAATTTTTTATTGATTGATTTTAGAGAGACAAATAGAGAAGAAAGAGAAAAATATCAATTTGTTGTTCCACTTATTTGTGCATTCATTTGTTCCTTCTCGTCTGTGGCCTAAGTGGGGATCGAATCTGCAACCTTAATGTATCAGATAATGCTCTAACCAACTGAATTACTCAGCCAGGGAGAAATTTTTATATTAGACTATTACTGTGGGAAAAATATATTGCCTTAAGGATTTTAAACTTGGTAATACCTAGATTCTTAAAGTGTGTGAAATTCTCTTGATTTTTTTTGTTGCAAAAGAGTCACTAATTTAAGATTGTGGCCTGTTAGGGATGGAACAGATACAAATTGAATATGTCCATAGGATTCCTGCTTCCACAAGAAAACCTTGTCATTACATGGAGTCCAATTTGAAGATCACATTGCAGTTTCAATTTTCTTTTTTTTTATCCTCACCCTAGGACATTTTTCCATTTTTTGTTCAGGTAGAGTGGGAGGGAGAGAGAGGAACAGAGAGAGAGAGAGAAACATCGACGTGAAAGGGACACATCTAGTGGCTGCCACCCGCATGACCAACCAGGGCCGGGGACAAACTGCAACCGAGGTACATGCCCTTAGCGGGAACCGAACCCAGGTCTCTCAGGACTGCAGGCCGACGCTCTAACCGCTGAGCCAAACCGGCCAGGGCTGCAGTTTCAATTTTCCATTTATGTCACATATATCTGAGATTTTAAATGTGTTTAAGGACTAACTGAACAGCCAAGTTAGAAATATGGGCCCTAAGGTAGGATAGTATTGGGTGACTTAGGGATGGGGTAGAGGAACCATGATAGTTGTTGGAGGTGTGAATCAGATTTGCAGAATGACAGCTGCCACAACCCCGGATAGACACAGGTGTTCTTTAAATTTTTACTAAATTACTTAATGGGCTGCAGAACTGAGGCCTATTTTAGAGGTGAGGTTATTGAGGGTAGAGGATTAGAATCGGGTCTCTCTAATGGCTTTTTGGAAATCATTTTTCTGTTGCATTATTTAAGATAGTATCTCACAATACTTTTATGTATTTTTAAAAATTTGTTCCTAAAATCCTTTTTAAAATAGTAAGCCTGAATTATTTTCCCCATTTTCAGGTTGTATAGGGGAGTGAATATTAACTGCTTTTCCCAAATCAACCCCCAATCCACAGGCCATGCATTAAGCTTTCCCAAAAAGAAATTTAAGTTGTTGGCTTTTTTTTTTTTTTTCTCCCAATTTATTTTTTTTATCCTCACCCGAGGACATTTTTCCATCCTTTGTTGAGATAGAGTGGGAGGGGGAGAGAGAGAGAGAATGGGAGAGAGAGAGAATCATCGATTCTCTCCACCCACACAACCCTACCAGGGCCGGAGACAAACTGCAAGGGAGGTACATGCCCTTAGCGGGAACCGAACCCGGGTTTCTCTGGACCACAGGCTGACACTCCAACCGCTGAGCCAAACTGGCCAGGGCAGGCTTTTGTTTTTTTAATGAAAGCTTTATATGACATGCAGTTTAATTTTTGACAAGCTTAAATTCCACTATACCATACAATTTAAGGGAATCTTGGAAAGTTCAAAGCGTTGATTTGATCACCAAAAATGCAGTTTGAAGGAAATGAACTATTTATATTCCCATTCTACAACTAATCAATTGAAACAATATCCTAATTGTTAGTGATTATCTCTATGGTTTAAGACTTCTCTGCATGGTCTCTGGACCTACTGCCTTATTAAATGCCACTCTTCCTATAATATAGATCAATAAGAAAAGAAAATTAGCTTAATTTCTACAACACATTGATTAATGGAAAACAAATGCTATGTGTTTGGTTTATAATAGTTACAAAGTAGTAGTCAATGATTTATAAGTCATGGCCTATGAAGCCATTAAAAACTTAATTATCTCCAAACAGAAATCTAAGCAAGATGCTTGAAAGTAATTTATTAGTAGCATCCACTATTAATGCATATTTCTGTTAGAGCTTTAGCCAAAAGCCATATTTTACTTTGAAAACAGAAAAACATGGCACAAATAATTATGACTTGAGGAATCATCATGAAATTCTTTAAAAACTGGTTTTCATTCAATGTTGGAACCCCAGATTGCAATGATCATCTGTATACTTTCTCTCTCCCCCTTGACCTTTCCCATAGGCTTTGGTGCTTCATTTACATACATCAATTCTAGCTGCTGGCCCCTTCTTTGATGTTTTTGCATGTCCATGTCCATACCCCTCTTCTTGAGAGAAGAGACTGCAGTTTCATGCCTACTTCTTCCATCTAGCACAGTATCTGATTCTCAGTGATCCTTATTGAATGGATGGATGGATGGAGGATGGATGGATGGATGGATCAATCTATCTATAAAATAGCCATCAAAACTAATGAGTGAGTTTAGCAAATCTGAAGCAAGGAAAGAAACATAGGCTTAAAAAAAGACCACTGATCTGTTTTCAAATCCCTTTTTTTTTTTTTTTTTTTTTTTTTTTGGTTTCAGTTTTATAAATAAAGCTTTGAAAATGGAAGTAACAGACCGTTTTTTAAGATGAGAGAAGATTTAGGTCTCCAAATTATTCTTTACTCACCTCTCCTCTCAATAAAGCCCCCCCTCTTTTCTTCCCCTTTTTTTCTTTTGGTTGGTTTTGTTTTTAATGTTTGGCATCTTCTTAAAGGATTCTTTCCCACAACAATGGTCCTGAGGGTGTCTGATGTGTTAATCCTGTTATAGTTGTAGCATTCTCTATCAAGAATTTCATAAATTTCCTTTCAGTTTTGGTTTCGAACTGGAATGTTTCTTCCCAGTCATTTCCCCTTTCCTTTATTTTTACAGTCCTGTCTGCATGTTCTACTGCAGAACAATGAATTTTTAGATTTCCCTGATTGTTGGCTCTGAACCGTTGAAGCAGCATCTGAGTGGGTTAAGTTTATTGATCAGGATACAGGGCAGCCCAGGATTCCGGAGAATTTTGTTTTGGTTGTTCTAAAACCCATATATTTTCATTTTTGCATGTCTTTGCTTGAGAGTATGGTATGGGATGACAAAAATATACTCTTTTTTATACACACACCCCACTTCCACCCTCACTGCCTCCCAACACACACACAGCCAAGTACACATGGACCACCTCTGCTGAGCAGGCAGAGTAAATGGTTGCCTGTCTATGCATAGAGGCACACCAAAAGACCCTTGTCCTCTCTCACTGGTGACCGGAGCCAAGCTTTAGGATTCAGACTGACCTGCAAGGGGTTCTGGTCAAAGGAGGTCTCCTACAGATACAGATTTGGAAGTCAGCAGTGTAAGTCTTAGTTCCCTCACATCAATATCCTTCTCTATAAAAGGTGAATAATAAGAATTATCTTATAAAGAGGATAACATTTGTAAAGCACCTAGCATCCAGTAGCCATTTAATAAACATGAATTTTGTTTTATTCAAAATCTTTCACTTGCATTATCTCATTTGGTCTACACAGAACCCTGCTAGACAAGCAACAGAAATACTAGAATCCCCCCTTTATTACAGATGGGGTGTTCTGAACTTGCTTAGTAATAATGGTAACTCTAATCCGTGCTTACTACTTGTCAGGCATTGTTCTAAACTCTACGTTTAATCCTCACATTAAATCTATGAAGTGGATACTAAAAGTCCCATTCTACAGATGAGGAAAATTAAGGCAGAGAAGGGCAAAATAGCTTGCCCAAGGACAAAGACCTAGCAAATAGAAAAGTTGGGATTGAAACCTAGAGAGCGGGGCTTCAAAACCAGTGCTCTTCACCAGTATACTTAAGTGCCTCTGTTTCCCACTGCTTTCTTAAGTCGTGGATTTGACTCACATCTGTGAGTCCAGGGCTAAGGCTATTCCTATCCAGAGAAAGAGACAAAATTGCACCGAAGGAGACAGCAGTAGGTTATCAGATCTGCCACCCTCGGGGAGAAAACTGTAATGACAGATTGATATTCAGTACCCTAGGGGGTTAGGCAGAGACTATGACGAGAGTGCCAGCCCAAAGAGGGCACACAGAGCTGGGTGGCATGGAGCCCTGGGAACACCCTGTGAAAAGATCTCCCCCTGCACTCTGCACTTTGGAGACCTGGGTGTGGGTGTAAAGAAAGACTGTTCACAAGGACCCCTGAAAGTCCAAGCCACCTGTTCATCTATTTTCCTGGCACTTAGCACTCTCCGCTTTGTGTTACAGTTATCAATAAATATGTCTAATCAGCTCGTGAAGGACAAGACCAAGTTTTACTCATTTTTATGTCCCCTATGTGGTGCATTTATTAGAAGCGCAATAAGTGTGAGTTGTATGAATAAATGATTGTAAGCAAATTAATATGCCTGAGCCCCAAAGGGATCCAGAGTTTGCTCTAAGTTTTATTTTGTTGCACCACAATAAGCTAAAATCTATTTTTAAGCTTTAAAAAAAAAATAGCAAAAAACATTGAATGAAGATTCTTTGGGAGAAATTAAGCCAATATTTTCAGTTCTTATTTTAGGGCAACTCTTACATTCTACACATTTTCATGGTTTTATTTTTGTACTTGTACCCATTTAAAACCACAAATAGTATAGCTTTTAAAAACTGAATTTGTCATTTAATAATAGCTATCCACCGACACCTATTAAAATGTTTAATAATAAAAGCCTACAAACATCAAGCCACAGTGGGTTTTAAGAGGATTGTAAGTGTGTACACAGTGGGTACCATCTTCCTCCCCATCTGAGATTTATTAGTAGTATTGAAGTGTGTCTCTAACTGTTATTCATTCGTAGATATGGTTGTAAATGGCAGCTTGAAATAAACTTCATGTGAAGTTTTGAAAATGAGTTTCACAACTTTTAACATTTTACTCAATGTGCTGGGGAGGCAAAACTTTTCCTCTATCTCTTAGGTTCCGTTTCTGGGGCCCTGTGATTCAACTAACAAAAGACAGGTTAGCAGGAGAAAAGGCACACATTGTTATTAATATTTATGTGCACTAGAGTTCGTAGGAAAGAAATGAAACTCAGAGAAGCAGTTAGATTCAGGGATTTATATACCATTTTAACAAAAGAAAAGGGCTTGGGCTTCATGGGATGATCATTGCTGGGAAGTAACTAGGAATATATGGGGAAACTGATGGAAAATCTGGGCTATTTAAGTACAGTCTTTATGTGCAAAATCATCTTGGTGTTAACAACACCCTGCCTTCTTTCTTGACTTCTCTCTGGTTGGGGTAGGGGCACCTTCCTCAAAGGAGAATTTATACACTGCTTTTAGGCAGGTAAGGATAGTACAGAGAACTCTTTGTGTCTGTTGATTCTTGGTTGCCTTCAGCTCAAAATCATCTTTATGACAAAGTATCATGTTTGGGGGTGGCATATTCGATCTCCTTCAAATGGAAAGCAAAGCGTATTACAGCACAAACACGTGAATTATTTCCAATGTTAATTCTTTTTTTTTTTTTTTTTTTTTTTTAATCCTCATCCGAGGACATTTTTCCATTTTTTGTACAGACAGAGTGGGAGGGAGAGAGAGGTAGAGAGAGAGAGGGAAACATCGATGTGAAAGGGACACATCAAGTGGCTGCCACCCGCACGACCAACCAGGGCCGGGGACAAACTGCAACCGAGGTACATGCCCTTAGCGGGAACCGGACCACAGGCGGACACTCTAACCGCTGAGCCAAACCAGCCAGGGCCCAGTGTTAATTCTTTAGTATAAGACTTATTGGTGTATGTGCTCTTGCTTTCTGTTACATTCCATACTTCTTTTTAAAGTATTAAAAGTAATATAAGAGTATAGAAAGTATATTTTCAAAAGAGGGAAAGGCAGTTCATCCATAGTCCTCTTATTAATAACTGTTTTTGCATAGTTTCTTTCAATGTTATCTATGCATGTCTGTCTCATAGGGATCCAGTGATGTGGGGCACACGTGTGGTCTGTAACTTCTTCCACCTAACTTATCATCAACATTGTTGCTTCCTCACACCCATTATTCAGCAGGTGCAAAGTTTGCCTGACCATTGTCCAGCGGTCAGACACCTGGGCCGCCTTCCCTGTGGCAGTTTGCACTTCCAGAGGAGGAGGGCGGGGCGGCTTGGCCCCTCCTGGCTAGGTGGAACCTGGGCCTCTAAGAGCAGCCACAGGCGGTTCAGAGGTCAAGTCCCAGGCCAAAGCTGAGGCCAGGCCAGGCAGGGCTTCTGGCTCCAGGCTCCCTCTTGCTCTCTCTCCCCACTCCGTAAGGTGGTGGAGTTACACCCTGTGGGTTTCCCAGGCCAAAACTCCATCCCTGGCCCTGAGTCGTACTCATACAGAGGGCCTGCCCAGGGTGGGTTCCTCCCAGCTGCTCTCTCCTTCTGTCCTAGCTATCTGCAGACCCACCCGTGCGCTAAGGAAGGAGCTGGGCCTCTTGACCTGGGCATCATGGTCCACCTGCAGTCCTCTGAAGTGCGGCAGCTGCTCCACAACAAGTTCATCGTGGTCTTGGGAGACTCCGTCCAGAGGTCCGTGTACAAGGACCTGGTGCTCCTGCTGCAGAAGGATTGCTTGCTTACTTACAGGCAGCTCAAGCTCAGGGGGGAGCTGAGCTTCGAACAGGACAAGCTGGTGGAGGGAGGCCAGAAGGCTACCATGCACAATGGCACCACCTACCGTGAGGTCCGGGAGTTCTGCACCGGCCACCATCTGGTGCGCTTCTACTTCCTCACGCGCGTGTACAGTGAGTACGTCCAGGCCATCTTGGAAGAGCTGCAGTCCCACAAGCACACCCCGGACGTGGTCATCATGAACTCCTGCCTCTGGGACATCTCCAGGTATGGGCAGGACTCCTTTAGCAGCTACCTGAAGAACCTAGAGAACCTGTTCGAGCACCTGGACCAGGTGCTGCCAAAGTCATGCCTCCTGGTGTGGAACACGGCCATGCCCGTGGGCCAGAAGATCACCGCGCGCTTCCTCCCGCCGGAGAATCTGCGCTTGTCCTTGACCCTGAGAAAAAAGGTGATCGAAGCTAACTTCTACAGCTCCGAGGAAGCGAAGAAGCACAATTTCGATGTGTTGGACTTGCATTTCCACTTCCGCTGGGCCGAGAGGCACCGGCAGGACGATGGGGTGCATTGGAACGAACGCGCACACCGACACCTCTCTCAGCTGCTGCTGGCCCACGTGGCCGACGCTTGGGGTGTGGAGCTGCCCCAGCGCCAACCCGTGGCCCAGTGGATCAAGGATGATCCTGCCAGGGGCGGACCTAGCCAGGGCGTTGAAAGGCAGTCCCAGACCAGCAGAAACCAAGCGCCCTTAGTCCCAGGGTTGCCTCCCCCCAGGCTTGGCCCCCTGCTGCCGCTCCCAAGTCCCCCCCAAACCCTGCCCCCACTCCTACCCCCACAGCCTCTTCCCATTCCCTGTCACCCGGCCATACGCCCCCAGTTCTTGTTCTGCCCCCAAGATACCCATTTTTCCTCAGACCAACCTTTCCAGTCAGGTCAATTCTCCTTAAACTTTTTCCATTCAGATGTCCCTTCATCTACCCAGACAGGAACTGGCTTAGACACTGGCTTTATGTTTGATCCCCAGCCTCCAAGGTTCCCCTTCCCCACACCCTATTATCAACAGGTAGTCCCTGTGGTTCATAGGGGTTTGCCCCGGAATCTACCTCGTGGCCCCTATGACTCCTGGAGACAGCGGCCCAAACCTTGCAGGAGACAAGCCCAGGCCTACCCAGAGCCAAGGCCTCATTAAACTGGTGCCTTTTTCCTCCTCGTGGACATGGACTTGAAAGATCATCTGACTTTGCCTAAACGGACTGATCTTGTTAACATAAGCCGTTGATTCACACTTGGGCTTCTTTTGGTTCTTTGCTATTACCAGTAACGGCAGAGAAGGGCAGTCTGACCCAATCTTGTTGTCTGTGGCCTCTTCCTCCATGCTCTGGGGTGACCAGGGGTTCTCCTTGCCTCCCCACCCCCTAGCCTCTTTGTCTTTTTGTAAACAGAAAATTGAAATTAAAAAGTTGTTTCATAAAAGTAGTTGTGGGTTTTGTGTGTGTGTCTATATGTAATGGTGCCTCTTCCTTCTATTAAACAATTAGCTTTGTAAGAGCAAAGAAGATACCTGCTGAATGAATGAATGGTCATGGTATCTACTGGATAAATCATTCAAACTGAATTTGTCTAAAATGATTCTGAAGGTTTCCACAAAATGGATTGGATAAACCAAAAAAAAAAAAAAAAAAGCCTAACTTTTTTGAAATCATATTTTCCAGAGATTCTTAAAGAATCATTGTATTTTAGAACCGGGAAAGTAAAGACATAAAATTTAACTACCATTTACAAACAAGGAGACTGAGGCCAGAAAGACAAATGACTTGTTCTAGGTCACACAGAAAGTCGCTCCTCTACTGGCCTTTCCTAGTTCATACTGGTTTCAAGCCATAGGACTGACATATACCACAGCAATATCAAACCAAGAAGGTATGTTGACCACACATGGTCCTCCTGTGAAAAGGCAGAAAAACTTCTATAACTCCATCATCAGAAGTTTAGTGGTTAGATGTACATTGAACTATGTAAGTAAACTAGAGTGGATGGCATGCTTGTGACTCTATGGTTTCTTGAATGGTCTTGAATTTTGGACTTGAAATAATTAGAAAAAAGGTTGCCATCAGTGATAATGTGAGTCACCATTAAATGAAACTGATTTAGAAGGGACCTCCCAGTGCACTACTCTGACAAATGGCCATGGCTTCTCTCTGTTTTGTAGGAATGTTAAACATTGTGAAGAATGTTTAAATGTGAGGCCCTTTGTCATACTAGAGTAGTGAAATGTGAATACTTAGATAAGCTAGTATTATTGTCCAAATATTATTGTCCGAATTATCAGGGGTTTTTTGTTTTTTAATTCATTTGACTGGCTCATAGGTCCTCAGTTGGACCACTCCTAAATTTGACAGTGAGGTCAGGAAATGTCCTGCAAAAATGAAGTTCATGAAATCACAAGAAATGGGTGAAATCAGCTATCTACAGAAGAAATACACAACAGCTTTTAATCTACCAAAAAATCATAAAAATCCTAGAAAATAAGGCCTTTATCTTATCTTTGTGTCTCAAATCTTAGTGCAATATCTAGCACGTAGTAAGTACTGAATAATGTTTCTCGAATGAATCAGTGAATGAATATGAGGTGACGTATATGTGTTCCTGCTGAGAAAACAGTCCAAGTCTCTAAGGAGATACTATAAATTGACATAATCATTGTAGCACACCTGAATATTGCCAAAACAGCATTATGATAACCTACAAGGACTTTATAAAGGTAATGACTACAGGTCAGAATTTACCAGAATGCCTCAGCAAAGTCAGGAGAGAGGGGACCTGTCTGACCAATCTAAATGTTCTAATACATGGAGGAGATTAGTGCACCAGGCTGTGAGATTTGATAACATCAGCCTTCAAGATGAGCTCGTTGCCTTTATTGTGGCTCTACATTTCCCAAGCAAGACAAAGCTATATTTAGCTGCTGATCTGAGTAAGCTGATGCATTTGGTGTTTATATATCCATGAATAAACCAATAAACCGGTGTTGTGGTTTATAGCTCTCTTGTGAGGTAAGTCAGTATGTATTATTCCTCCTTAATCTGATCATACCTGATGAACCACGGAGAATGAGTTCTTAGATATACAGGGTTGAGGACCAAACCCTGAATCAGTGCTGAGTCTGCTCCATTGTGGATTAAATTGCACCAACCACTTAACAGTCCTGTTGCGCACACAGGGGTAGGAGTGCAGGTAGACTCAGACAGGGACAATCTTTTTCTTCTCAGGTGTGTGAGCTTATTAATTTCCTATGGCTGCTTTAACAAATACCACGAACTTGGTGGCTTAACAAGACACATACTTATTCTCTTGCAGTTCTGGAGCCCAAATTTCCCAAATCCATGACCCCAGAGTACAATCCTTACTCTGTCCTCTGTCCTACCTGATCAGGCTTCTACCTGCCTCCGCAATGTCAGCATCTTCTTTTATTTATTTATTTATTTTTAATGTGGTAAAAGACATATACCATAAAATTTAATATCCTAACCATTTGTTTAAATGCACAGTTTAGTGGTATTAAGCACATTCACATTGTTGTGCAACCATACTCTCCTGGAACTCTCTTCGTTGCTCTTTATGCTTTCAACCACCCAGGACTTCTTTCTGTTCTTAAAGCTCTTTCATAACTTGGGCCTTTGCACTCGCTATTCCCTTGCCTGAAATGTTCTACATCCCCTACCCGCTACTTCTTTGGATATCTAACTCTTCATCCTTCATCCACACCTCTCAAGTCACCTCCTAAGAGGCCTTCTTTTCTTTTCTTTTTTTCTTTGTTCTCACCTGAGGACATTTTTCCATTTTTTGTTAAGATAGAGTGGGAGGGAGGGAGAGAGAGAGAAACATCGACGTGAAAGGGACACATCGAGTGGCTGCCTCCCGCACGACCCAACCAGGGCCGGGGACAAACTGCAACCAAGGTACGTGCCCTTAGTGGGAACTGAACCCGGGTCTCTCTGGACCGCAGGCCGACGCTCTAACCGCTGAGCCAAACTGGCCAGGGCCTAAGAGGCCTTCTATGATCATTTCATCTACAAGTACTGGTACAATCTATCATAGTATTTTTCCTTCCTTCCTGTTGCGTACCCTACTCAGCAGGGGCTTCGGCAGATGGCTTGCTTTTAGTCTCTCCTAGAACATAAGGTCCACAAATCACTGTTGAATTCCCAGTGGCTACTAGCACAGTGCCTGGCAAAGAAGATGTTCAAGTATATTTACTTTAGTTAAATGTTCAAACATATAATTAATTCGTATGTACTCAAGTAAGGAGGCATTTGTATTAAAATATCTACAGAACCACAGAGAAAATGTCTACAGAACTGTCCCATAACTTTACCTAAGTCATCTGGGTGGCTAATGCCCCTGGACTTTCCCAGCCCCAGGGACAGCCCCACTGAGGGTTAGAGGCCGATAACAGTTCAATGGATGCTTACATTTAAGTTCATGCATCTTCTGGCCTCTATCTTCCATCTTAGAGCTTTTTTCTTTGCCCATTTTTGCTATTGTCACCTTGCTCATTAAATCAAGTAACCTAGCAATGCAATCAAGCTATTGTCTGGTAAAAAAAAAAAAAAAAAGGCCCAAATAATTCAACATTTATGAGAGAAGTTATTGCTCTATTATTAAGGCTTAAAATGCAGAGTTCATACAGCCTATTCTCCAGCTTCAAGAAATGACAGCTTTTTATACTTGACTTTTGTTTCAAGTTTTCTGGGGGGGAAAAAAAGTAATATTAATTACTGAATTGACATTACCAAGCAGCAAATGTGTCTTGCAATATTCTATAAGGTAAACTATTTGGTATCCCAAATGCTGAAACTTTAAAGCTGTAGCTATATTTTTCTTTAAGTACAAACAAAGCAAAGCTCAGCACTTGAAAACAAATGGAATCTTACATCCTGCAGTGGTACAGGACCAGGCCCCGTCCCTGGTCAGCCACCGAGCTCATGCTGTCCCGGCCCTAGCACTGCGTGACTCCGGAGGTGGCATGCATGTGACATTCTGGAGCTGTACACAGCAGCAGCTCTATCTCTGACAGCTTTGTGTTCACGAATTCTGCAAAGGTGAGTTGTTCTCAAAACTTAGATCATGAAGACTCATGTCAGAGAAAGCATTTACTATTGTTTTAAACTATTGTATATTTGCCCTGGCTGGTTTGGCTCAGCAGTCAGAGCATCAGCCTGCGGACCAGAGAGTCCCAGGTTTGGTTCCCACTAAGGGCATGTACCTCGGATGCAGTTTGTCCCCAGCCATGGTTGAGATTTGTGTGGGTGGCAACCAGTCGATGTGTCTCTCTTGCATGGATATTTCTCTCTCTCTCTCTCCCTCCCGCCCTATCTGAAGGTAAATGCAAAAATGTCCTCAGGTAAGGATAAAAAATAAAAATATAAAAATAAACTATTGTATGTTTGTATCTATAAACTTCAGAAATAACATTCTTATTCCCACAGTTTTAAGAAAGTCCTCTGTCACTGCATGCTAACTTACATATTTTTTTCACAAGACTTTACCCGTTCATTTTAAAGGTACATTTTCTGAAACATATCCCTTGAACCATCATAATCTTTACTCATTCATTCTATGGGCAAGGATGCTTACCACAAAAAGGGGGAGATTCATTCTGTAATTGCCCAGTGTGGAAATTCACAGTGTGTTTAATGGACGAGAGACTCTGAGAAGTTCTGTGTGAATTAAATTTGGCTAAATGTGTTTAACCTAGCATTTTCCAGATTTATTTAGCCACAGACTATTTTCATATGCACCATCTTTTAAAAATGTGTTTTGGGAAATACAGGGTGGGGCAAATGTAGCTTTACAGTTGTTCGTATGGAAAATAATACAATGATTCATAGGTAATAATACAAGAATAAACTGTTTCTTATACTCACAACTATAAATATACTTTTGCCTCACTCTATATTGTTCTAGAGAATGCCAGATAAAATAGTTGGGGTAAGTGAAGAGAAAAGAAGTTTTGTTAGTGACATTTTATATATGAAGCTTTTTAAAAATGGAGCATTATAATAATCTGTGCCCAGATATGAGCTAATATGAGCTAGGTAAGCCAAGGACAAGGCTGAGATTGTTTAGTGAACTGAAATAGGATGAATGGACCAGGAATGATTGCCTTCTTCCCTAGGATGGGGGAGGTACTAGGACAGTCCATCCTGTTAACAAGTACCAGGGCAGGTCCAGTGCAGCAGCAGAGCATGGTACGGAGTGGAGGTTTTTCAACCTAGTTGTTTGATACCTGACAAAGACTATCCCAAGATACATCCTAGAGGAGCATGGTAATGGGAAGTAGAAAATAAACAGTATTCTGAAACTGAGCAGATAATCATCAACACAGCACCCTCTGTCAACACTTCTCAGTGTTGTTAGGAGCAGGAATAAATCTCTACCAAAGGGCCTGTCATTGATGAACAAGAGCACCAGCAGGAACTGCTGTGGCAGAGCCAGACACCGCCACCGAAGAGGAAATACAGCCAGACCATGCGGTCTGTGACAACCAGTCTGGGC